ACCTGACATGTTTGTTTATAGGAATAGTATTCGTTCTTAGAGGCGAGAAGTAACCTGACTATGTTATAATGTTGTAGAAGAATATCGGAGTTACCAGGTGTCCAATCCAATATTTAGGATTTTTTTTTTTTTTTTTGTTAATATATAAAATTATGGTTTTAAAGATATGGTGTTGAATACATAATCTATAAAAATTGTAGCTGAAATTCCAATTTAAGACATTAAATTTGATACTTGCGTTTTCAACTTGGTTAAAGGGTGAGTCCAAAGGTAGAAGGAGACTGGAGTAATCGGGTTGGGCTCATAAAGATTATATTGTATTGCTCGGTAGTGGGTCAAGGAAAAAGAAAGGCGGTTGGCTTGACGACTCGTTTTTTAATACATCGGATTGGGCCGAGTTGACTCAATTCTTTGCACACTGAACCCATACCCAACTAGAATCAGATTGGGTTCTAAAAAACCAACTCATCCCGACTCAAAATTCTATTTAATCTAACCCAACCCAACCTTTACAATTTAGGTTGAGTTGGTTCGAGATCTCAAGCTTTTGAGTTCAATGCACACCCTTAATCATGTGGTCCAATAGCAGAAGAGAACATGTCCAAGCTTAAGCCCTTGGCAACAACAAGGCACTCGTTGATAGGCGCAAGCTTGGTCATGTGGTCGACATGAGTGTATGATTGTCATTGGCGCACAATTTGCATACCCCCACGTACAAGTAGTCATAATTGTCAAGACAATGCTTGATAACCACTTTTCGACAAACGGTGGAGATCACTCTTTTCAAAAGGTACAAATATCATTCCAGCTCATTTCAACACTAATTCAAATTAAATGCTAACTTAAGTTTTAGAGTACACGAGACCGAACACCACATCAGTATAAAATTTCATTCGTATGTTAACACCTTAGCTGACTTGGAAGTCACTGCCACATCGCCCTATTCATTTTATTCAAAACCGCAATGGTATCTCTAAGTTAATAAAACCATAATTTAAAAATTAAAATCCGACATTTTTCTTAATAAATTTAACAAAAAATTTTACTGACAATTTTAAATGATACATTACCAAAAAAAAAAAAAAAAAAAAAAAAAAAAAAAAAAAAAAAAAAAAAAAAAAAAAAAAAAAAAAAAAAAAAAAAAAAAAAAAAAAAAAAAAAAAAAAAAAAAAAAAAAAAAAAAAAAAAAAAAAAAAAAAAAAAAAAAAAAAAAAAAAAAAAAAAAAAAAAAAAAAAAAAAAAAAAAAAAAAAAAAAAAAAAAAAAAAAAAAAAAAAAAAAAAAGCTAAATTACATTCAATATATATATATCTTAAGGAAGCAGGTAGATCCAGGCTTAAATGCAGAAAATAAATAGCATATCGTCCAGCTGTTAAACACGTGTAACTATTTGATTGGCTGTCCATATAAGCCACCTACGTGTCGATCTTACATGGCATTTGAATTGAAAGGTTAATGTTAATGGTGTATGACTTGTATTTTCAAAGCATTTATTATAAATAATTAGGTGTCATATATTTTTAAGGTTAAATTATAAAAAAAAAAACACTTAATTTAAGATAATCACAATGAAGTATAGTTTAACGTATTTTAATTTTAAAATTTGTTACTTATTATACTAAAAAATAATTTTTAAAGCATGCTTTGAAGGTTTTTTTTTTTCCCCTAAAATTAAAATCATCTTTCATAAAATCAAAATAAAAACTATACTTTATATTTTTTTTCCAAGTTTATTTCGTTGATTTATTATTTATAAACTTTATACTTTTAGTTTCATAGGATAAATGATTTGTATGAATTAATTTTTAACAAATTAATTTCCAAGAATTAAAAGAAAGGTAGGTAGCAAGTATAATGTTAGGACATTACAATTTATATGCACACATGCACTTGCCCACATTACTTTTCTCACATAAATACGGTTCACATTTTGCGGCAAACAAATCGAGCTTATATTTGGTACACCAATCCAATTATCTTAAATTATAAGTCGACTAATCTCACGCGCGCTACATTTATGGACTCACGTTTATGAAACCCTACCATTACAAAATAAAGTACCACACATATTTTTTAAAAATTATTTTCTAAAACATTTTCTCTCAAATGTGAGTTGAGACTCGATGATATCTCAAGATTGTCTGTCAAATTCGATTTTCAGACGATTGACTTAGGTATTGGATTTGAACCAACTTTTACAGAAGTACAATAGAGTACGATTGTGACAACGGGTATGATTTATAATTAAAATAAAAGCTTGGTATATATATGTGTGGGGGGTTATTTAGAGGGAAATAAATGTTCCAACCCAACATATCGACATCAGTTACCTCGCAACTTATTGCTGTAAGGATGGCGACGGTTTGAATGTCCAAAAGCTGAAAAGAAATACATGCAATAATCACAAAATAATATTCCCATTTCTCCTCTCTTCATCACTGATTCTTCTTGTTGTTCTCCATCTTCCGCCATGGAAATGAGCTTTACCACCACTGTGTTCTTCATCTTCCTTCTGCTTACCCCTTCATTCTGTTGTTGTTCTTCTTATGAAGGTGTGTGTGTAATTTGTGTATGATGGGTGTTACAGGAATATAATGGTTGATTCATTTGTTGATTTAATTTTAATTTGTAGGTGGATCTGAAAATGGTGGCATGGGTTCTTCGTCAGAGGTTTATGAAATAGATTACAGAGGACCAGAGACTCACTCCTCTCATATTTCTCCTCCCCATCACTCCCATGGAAGGCCATGGATTGTTCATCATCGCCATCCTCTCCACCCTCCTCCATACCCACTCAAGGTCATTTTCTTTTTCTTGTTTGTGACCATCAATATCAATCTTTTGGATTATCTAGCTAGAGTAAATAGTTCGATGTCCCTGGAGTGGGTAGGGTTATCTCTACCTCTTGTTTCGTTTCTCGTTCTCGTGAAAATTTTTATTTATTTTTATGAAAATTGAGATGGAGATCCTTCCGAATTCATTGATATGAAGATCCTCCATGTGAATTCCCGACCCGACCCTATTTAGCTCATGGAAAAAAGTCTCTTTCCGCTCCCTAAGATCCTCCATGTGAATTTTCGACCCGACCCTACTTGGCTCATGGAAAAAAGTCTCTTTACGCTTACTCTCCATTCCCCCTAAGTTTAGAGCGTTTTAATTGAAATAAACATCTCTAGCTTCAAGTGGATATATATATATATATATATATATATATATATATATATATATATATATATATATATATATTTTTTTTTTTTACATAATTTTTATTTAAATTGTTTATATGTTTTTATTTTTCTTGCGTTTTAAAAAATAGCGTAGAAGTTCGTTTACTCCCAAACATAAATAAAAGGGTTATTTTATTTCTATTTACTTCCATAATAAATATTTTTTTTAAAAAAATAAAATTTCCACATGTACGTGCAAAATTGGTACTTTTGAGAACAAAAGAGTAATAATAATAATGAAAAAAATAAAAAATATTTATTAAAAAAAATAAAAATTGAGGTTTGTTTTGTTTTGTCCCACCCACCCATTAAATATTATTGGTGGGTAAAGAATTTGTTTGTTTTTAGTGTATTGGGTAATCATTTATTTATCTATTTATTTATATTTTAGCACTTAGCTTACGAAAAACTTAACCAAACTTAGTCGTTGAATTATGCAAATCAATCATAAGCTGTAATCTTAGATTAATTTCTTTGATTTTTTTTTTTTTTTTTTTTTTTTTTTTTTTTTTTTTTTTTTTTTTTTTTTTTTTTTTTTTTTTTTTTTGTTAAATAAAATAAAGATAACTTTTTTTATTTTATTTTATTTTATAGTTTCGTAATTATTCTGTTTATTTGTGCAGGGAAGCAAGGTGGGTGCATAATTGAAGATTTGGAAGCATTTATTTCAACGTTTACAAATAAAATCATATTTAGAACTTCAGATATAAATTTCATCATCTTTTTGAAGTATAGTTCTGTACAGAACATGACTGCATCAATCTTTTGTGTGTATGTTTGGGGTTTGTGCATTTTTAATTATACACAACATTAGTATTATTATTATTGGTTAACATTATTATTATTATTATTATTATTATTATTATTATTATTATTATTATTATTATTATTATTATTATTATTATTGGTTAAGTTACTATCTGTTTAATTCTTAATTTTTAGAAGTTCTTAATGTTTTTCAACTTTATATGTATAATAAATTCTTAAACATTAAAATTGTCTATCACTTAGCTCAAGGATATAGTTTAGTTGATAAAGTTGTACTCTTGTAATTGGGTAATTGAGGTTACAAGTTGGATATCTAATTGTTGGTAGTATTTTGTGTAAGATCTCACTTTGATTGGAGATGAAAACTGAACCTTCCTTAAAGAATATGAAAACTCTCTCAAATAGATGTGTTTAATAACTGTGAGGGTAATACGTAACAGGCCAAAGCAGACAATATCTATTAGAGGTGGACTTGAGTTGTTACACTTGTACTTGAACCGATAACCCACTTTTGTTATGTAAAGAAGAAGAGAATTAAAGCATGCTAATGAAAGACTTTGTTGAGACACAAACGCAAAAAAGGTTAGATGGGAAGTTAGTCAGATTTAATATAGATCAAACATGAAAGGTAGGGGGAGTCGGCGACTCTCATATATAATCCCTTTGGAAGAGGATCAAGTTAGCCTTTATGAGGAAGTTGATGCACAATCTTCCTCGAACCCTTGACCTTTGCGAAGCTGGATGCATTGGAAACCCTTTAGTGAAATGGCGGCTGAGTAGTCGACGGTAACGGTGGCTGTGTGAATGAAACGACAAATGCGAGAAACAGAGGCCTATAACGAAACGACAGTTTGTGTCGGTCGGTTTAGAGCCGAACCAACCATGGTTCCATCGAAATAGCTCTTTTATTTTTATTTTTTTATTTTTATTATTTTTTTTTATGCCTAATTATAGCTAAGGTGCAATTAAAACCAGTGGTGGAAGCTTTCGCATCCTAATAAAACGCTGCGGAGCCGCGAACACATGGTTTTCCTTCTCCCGTACGTGAAGAAAATTTGGAAGAATCGCGCTTCCTTTAAGTTTCTGACCTTGTCTCCTCCATTTCTTCGCATTAGATTTTGAATTTTTGATCTGGGTTTCTTCTTTTCTCTGCTAATTCATCATGGCCAACGGCGAAAACCTCGAGGAATCAAGCCCACTTCTCGGCAAGGTCGTTGAAAAAGCAGATGAGAAGGATACACATCGCATCTCCACGGGGGATAGGGCCGATGCAGTACCTCCGCCGCCTCCTGTCCGGAAATTTGCGGAGGAAGAGAACGGCGGCGATGGCTGTGATTATGGGTGGACTGCCGATGGGCTCCCGATTCATGGTAGTGTGATGGGAGAGCCGGTAGGTCGGGCCCAATGGGAAACTGGTCTCTGCGCTTGTCTTGGTCGCCACGATGAGTTCTGCAGTAGCGATCTAGAAGTTTGTAAGTCGATTCGTTTTCTTCATTTGAATTGAGTTTTTGCTGAAAGGTTAGGCTTTGGGGATACGTGATTCGTTTTCCCTGATTTTTGGGTTTGTAGCTTATTCCTACCAAAATATTCTTCTTCTTACTTTAGATAGGGTGCCTTATCCACCATGATCTTAATATGCTAGCACTTCTTTAGGCAGGAGTATTCTGTTGTTTCTTCAAATAGAGTTTCAGATAAGATCTGGGCTATGCAGAATTCTTGGATCTCTAATACCATTCTTATCACTTTTAATTGGTTTGAATAAACAAGTTCCCTAATCCTTAATCTTCCAATAAATACCCATTCTGATCCTTGGGGTCTCGATGGGGCCTGGATTACAATAAGAAAAGGAATCCTTATTTTCACGGGGAGGAGGGGCTGGAGGAATTCAACACATTTATAGGAGGGTATTGCTATAAACTTCTTTAGGGAGGGATTTCTATTGACTACTAGGGTTTTACTTCTTGCTTCAACTTGAAGAGGTAAAATTAGGGAAGAAAGTGAAATGAAATTAGGAGAAAATAAGGGAAAGCAACTTACAATGAGTGTTTGTAGGTCTTATTGGAAGTGTGGCTCCTTGTATGCTGTATGGAAGCAACGCAGAGAGACTTGGGTCTACTCCTGGGACTTTTGCAAACCATTGCATGTCATATTCTGGTCTCTACTTAATTGGAACCTCTTTCTTTGGTTGGAACTGCCTTGCTCCATGGTTTACATTTCCTACCCGCACAGCTATCCGCCGAATGTTCAATCTGGAGGCAAGTTGAACCTTCTCCTTTACCATTCTTGATTCTCAATATCTGCAAATGAATGCATGACTTGACATTCAATTCAATTGATGGGAAAGTTTATACATTACCTTGTTTCATGACGAGCAGGGTAACTGCGAGGCACTTCATAGGTCATGTGGCTGTTGCGGACTCTGTGTTGAAGACGAAGTTCAGCGTGAGCACTGTGAATCTGTCTGTGACTTTGCAACTCATGTCTTCTGTCACACCTGTGCACTTTGCCAGGAAGGTCGTGAACTTCGTCGGAGGATGCCTCACCCAGGGTTCAATGCTCGTCCTGTGTTAGTCATGATCCCACCTGCAGAACAGTCCATGGGGCGTGGAGTCTGAGATCATCTTCCTCCTGCTTTCCATGTTCTTTTGCAGTGGCGTCTTGCTGCTGACCTGCAATGTATTAGGGGCTGATGAGTCTCGGATGTTAAGTTTTCAAAGGGAAAAATATTCTGACAAGGTTTCAGAATAAGACGACATTTCCTATTTGTGGATAATATTTTGTTCCTTTGTGTATAGAATTTGTTGAAGATTCTTGGCCACCAGGGCCAGCTTTGTTTCCTTCAGTTTGAATATTAAAAAATTATTGTGTTGTTTCTTGTATCTTTAAACCAGGCACATTTACACGTTTACGAGCTAAAAAAGAAATAAAGAATCAAACAAGAAACCGAACCAAATTTCGCTAGAAGAACTCTATCATATCGAACTATAACTATATTGTTAGATGCGAGCATGTCCAAGTTACCAACTATTCCCTTCTCCTTAATCTATTTTGTGTATATTCCTGGTAACCAATGTGAATCAGAAAATCCTAGGATTGGCAAGAAAGGCAAGGCAAACAGCATTGGATCAAAATATACCATATAAACTACTCTCTTACTATCATTTCTCATCTCTAAGGATACAAGGGACTATGAACTTCCGGTTATAATGTTCAGATTCTGAACAACTTAACAACATAAACAAAACTACTCTTCAATCACTGAAATGGAAGAACTTGTTAGTTCCCCCAAGTGAGGCACAGGAATATAGCACATAAGAGAAAAGGCTAGCACTAACTACTACTCGCCAGGTGCAGAGATACCTTGCTTTAGTCTCTCCCTTTTCATCTTCTTCTTGGAAACTGGTTTCTTCTTTTTTGGTGGGAGGGTCTTCTGCGCATACATGTAGAGAGCATAATTCACAACAAGAAAAGCCAAGAGCAGCCCGCCGACTACGAGCAGCACAATCAGTCCTGGATTGAATCCTCTTCCATCCGCATCTCCAATCACGTTCCCCTGTGCACCAAGGCCAATATTAACTGTTCGTCACCATGAACCAGAACATACACAACAACAAGAATTGTAGAAGGAACTCATGAACCACCCCAGAAAGGAAGCTGGCTGGTTTCTTCAGCAATCTCATGCAAGCAAAGTTATGTGTAAACACGAAAAGGAGATCAATTGTAGCCTTGTACTCCAACTAATCATTAATCTGATTCTTAGCTACGAAAGATGCTGAGGATACCACATCAGAGATGCACGGAAAATCCTCTAACAATATGAAAAACTGAACTGAACAGGACTGTTATTATTCTTATTAACTGAATAGGTACAATTAAACCATCCACCAATTCTAAGTTCGGTCATACATGTAGGATCGAATTAACAAATTCATGTATCATCCTATAGTTTAAAATTCCATCCATTTTCAGGAAATTGCAAAAAAGGTGCGCAGTTTTTTTAAATCTTTTCCGACTCCAAATAACACAATGATCACATGCATCAGCATCATCCTAAAAACATTGCAAAAACAGCACCATTCTTCAGAAAAGTAGATATTTGATACCGAATTGTACACAATCAGAACAAAGAAATTCCACCTAAAAACTAAGCATACAAGGGAATCACCTAGCAAGGTGTGTATACAAGAAGAAACGGAATATCCAACTGCATTATAAGGGTACTCGAAGAGCAAATCCCAAAAAATATTCAACTGCATTATTTGCTAGTCGACCGCAGAGACAATCAGATCTCAAGAGCGAAATCGAACAGAAAATATCGACAATGATACGTTAACCTCAAAGTAAACCCCCAGAGCCATGTCCAAATCAAAACTTCGTTGGAGAAAAATAAAGGATAAGCTGCATTAACAGGGATCTCAGATTAGGCGGCAAACAAGCAAGAAAGAAATGACATCGCGATACTTTCAAGGGAGCTCTGGAGTACCATGCGGTTGACGGCCGGCGGGACTTTGTCACCGAACTCGAAATCTTCTTCCATGGTTGAAATTCAGAAGCGGAGAGATGGCCTTCGCAACGAGTTCCTGTTGTTGTGATGTACCAACGACATGAACCGCCAAAGCTTCCAGAAAAATACAAAAGGAACGAAGAGATGGAAGTCGCGGATAGTGTATTTGGGCCATTTCCAAACCCACGGGACTGAAACGACGCCGTTGTCAGGTTTTGGTATTTCCGGCCAATTGTTTTTTATAAATTAAAAGAGTAAATAAATTTTAAAAGGGAAAAAAATACTCAAAATTAATATGTTATTTGTCTTCTTTTTTTTTTTTTTTTAATAATTCATTTGATTATTTTTAATATTGTTTCGTGTAATATTGGATTGGTATTTGAAATTAAAAAGCAAATAATATATTTTACGGGTGTGGGTAAATTTGGATTCAAATAATGAATTTACCATTATTTGGACCCGAGTTAGACATAATAGGGTTTAAAATTGAACGAGTCTAGACTCAAATGAACCATAAAACGAAGAACTTATGTGCCCCACCTCGTTCTTAGGGTTTAGGACTGCAATACCAAGTCGAAAGCCTAGATGACCTTGGGACCAAACGAGGCATGGATCAATGCACCCATGTAGCTCACCTTGCATCGACGATGATTAGGACCGACATACCAAACTCAAGGCTTAAACGAGCCTCAAATCAAATTAGCCTTGGACCGAAACACTTGTGTGACCTACCTTGCCTCGATAAAGATGAGGCTGAGGCTAGCCAATTTGACCTACGAGTGTACCGTTCGCATGCACACGATAGACCCAATTAAAGAGAAGAAATTCTAGATATTTGAGGTGTATCTAAATCACAAATTTCTTGCTGATTTAGGCACTAAATAAAACGCATTAATCTGATTAATATGTATCCATTCAATATCAAACCCATAAAAAGAGTATATAAATTTATATTGTTTCTAATATAACATGAAAAGGAACATGTAGACCATCTGTTGTTGACACGTCAACCTTTCACACTCAGCCTTTCACTTGTTGACACGTCGACAATCCTTTCTAATTTCTCCTTCTTCGTCGGTGAGAGGGGCGTTCTCTGACAGCAAAAGCACAGCCCTGGCAAATTGGGCCAGAAAGTAAGTGTTATTGGAGGCCATGTGCTGGACGTAAGGAAGAGTTATTGGGCTAGAGCCCAATTGTTGGTCCACCAACAAAAGGGCCTTCTGGCCCAATACGTTCTTATAGTAGTTGTTGTCCAGCACCATCGGAGTTTGCAAATCGTTTCTTGCGTACAAAACTGCCTTCGGGTCCGGGTTCGGGCTCGGGCACCTTCTTTTTAGATATTCTCCATGATCCGGATCCAAAGTCGGATCGACTGTCGGGTAGAGCCGGTTCACTAGATTTACGCAGTGGACCCGACCCACCGAGTGAGCTCCTAACACATGAAATTAAGATTATTTAAAAATTAAAAAAAATACCCTTTTCAATCATTTTTAAATTTAAAATATTTTGAAAATCTCAGCCTAATTAAAAAAATCTATAGGTTACAATGAAGTTTATTTCTATTTTTAGGAAGCTCAATAAACTAAAAAGAATTAAATAAACTAAAAATATTAAATAGACACAAATTTGATAATTTAATCAATATTTTAATATTTTTAGTAATAAGAACAATGTTTTTATAAAATTAAATGTCTTAGACATTTGAATGATCGTTAATTTTTCAATAATAATTTAACGGAAAGTTTCCAATTTTAAATATATCAATAATTTTTTTTTTTTTTTAGAATTAAATCCATAAGTTTTCATTTTCAATAAAAATTTAAACCAATTAAAAATATTTCATAAACAAAATATAATCTTATATTCACCATTTATAAAAATTCAAATTTAAATATTGCAAAAATTGGTAGAAATTTGGTAACCAAGAATATAATCTAGGGAGATTTACTCCGTGGGCAAAAAACTAAGAGTCGAGTAGAGAAATCTTTTCGTCATAAAGGACGAAGATTATATACATATAAAAACTCGAATTAGTAACAGAGAATATAATCTTTGTCCTTTAAAGCGAAGAACTCTCTTCGTCCAACTCTCAGCTCTTTGTCCTACGAGGCAAGTCCCCATAGAATCCAGTCTCATGTTAAATAGATATATCTCTAATCAAAGGAATTAATATAATATTAAATAAAACGTATGAATTAAAATAAATGAAAACAAACCTAAAAGAGCAACGGTAGCTTGAGCATCAATGCCAATATCTTGAAACCTAGAAAGAACCAACGAAAGAGAATCATTATGATTAGGAATGAAGTCTTCCACCACTCCTTCATAGCATTCTCTGCTGTCTCTCCTCCCTGTTTTCATCTCCATCTCTAATCCCCCTATCTAATCAACAAATCACAACATAATCACAATTAGTTAGAGATTAATTAAAATTAATACGAAATTAAAAGAGAGCCAACAAAATACCAGAACAATGGCATCTCTTGCAGCAAGAGCCATAATATCAGCACAAGAGACAGTGTCGGGACACTCATTTTCAAGAAGCTGTTTGATTTTATTAACATATTTGAGGTTTCTAATCCCAAAGCTCCTTGACGACTTCATCTCCGACACAATTCCACCTTCTTCCTCTTTGATCTCCAACAAAAGAGATGCATCACAAGACTGTACGTCACAAAATAAATAAAACCCAATTACAAAATATAAATAACATTTGCTTGTTCATTATGTGTTCTTCATATACTTACCTTCACCATGCAATCATGGAAGAGGTTTCTAATCCATGAAATCGCCGAGTTTCCATGTTTTTGGTACAAGGAGAAAACTTGTTGTTTGATTATGTCTTCCGCTCTTGGACACGTCTCGTTATAGTACTTTACTATCAATTCTTGGCTTTTTCCTATATTTGAAAAATAAACGTTATCAGCTTGGAGTTTGCTCAGATCATTTGTCGTATAAATGCATGAAAAACGGTACCTGAATTGGAAAAAAGGAGCACGGACAATAGAAAAAAAACAAATTTTAAGCCCACCCGATACATCTTTACTAATGATCTCTTTGCTATACTCTTACTATATATATATATATAGAGGTAAATCAATAAGAATATAAAAATTTGAATTATTTTATTAAAAAAAAAGAAGAGTTAATTGTAATTAAAAAAAATTGAGTGAGCTTTAGGTGAAAGCCCAAGAAGCCAATTTATTTGACTTTTGGTAATGCCCATTGCCCATTTTCCAAAATTCCAATTAATTTACTAATTATTGAAAGTAGCATTTGAAGGCAAGTGATTTGATAATTATGATTTTAATTATTATATAGTTTATATGTGGCACTCCAACATTTGGAGGCTTCACGTGTTGTAAATAATGGAGGTAATTATATTTATTTTGACAGCCCTAGCAGCTTTTAACCCATTAAATAAATAAATAAATAAAGTTTGTGGTTGAGATTTTAGTTCTACTATTTTATTATTATTTTTTAAAAATTTTAAAGTGGTGGCTGATATTGAATTTTCTTGATCCTAAAAAAAATAAAGGTTTAGAAATAAATCTAGAAATTTATTATAAATGTTGATTAAGGGTTCCCCAACCAGACGGGCATTTGGTCTAGTGGTATGATTCTCGCTTAGGGTGCGAGAGGTCCCGAGTTCAATTCTCGGAATGCCCCCATTATTTTATTGTTTTTTTAAATGGGCTTGAGGCCGCCTGAAGGCCCATTGTTACTAATAATTTTTTTGAAAAGGAAATTATTTAATTTAATCAGTAGTGGGAGACAATATTTGAATTCCGCCACTTTTAATGCGCGTGGTTTGTTGCTATATATCAAGATTGGTTAAGCAAGCCCGACTTTAACGGGCTAAAAAACAGCCCAACCAAAATGGTTCCGGCCCACAAATGGTTCAAGCCCATCTAGTGGGCCGGTTGAGAAAAATATGGGCCGTACCCATACGACGATGATTATCTTTGACGTGGCGGATTCCCAATAGGCTCGATTTTCTTTCCGGCTTACCGCGAAGCAAGAAATAATGAAATTTCCTTACTCGACCGATATTAAAATTATGTCCACGTGTAAGCAGTTCATTGGATATAAATACGTGGAATGACTCGTTTAATTATCAAAATTTAATTTAAATATAAATTCACGTTTAATTTTGAGACATATTCTGATTTTGTTCATGTAACTTGGAACTGTAAGAAACAATGCTGAGTTTTTCGATTCCGCTACCCGCCATGGAAGCTTCAGCTTGGAGAGGATTAGCGTTCACGGCGTTTCTTCTCAACTTCGTTCTAGTCTGTCAGCTTCTCCTTCTTCAACCTTTGGTTTCGGCTGCAGGTTCGTTAGTGTGATTTCTGTCTGATCTATCTTCCTGTTCTTCGCTGGAAAAATTAAACTAGGAGGAGTTTCTAATTTTGCAGTTCGGTTTGTTCCATTCGATTAGGTACCTAGATCCAGTTCTTGAATGTGCGATATTTCTTTTGGTTCTTTATTTGTCTCCTGTTAAGGTTTCAAGATGTTGACGAGTCTGAGGCCAAAGTTTGGAGCTCTACGATAACTGTGGCAGTTTTAATTTGTTTGTTATTTGGCTTATAGTTTCCCCGGCGTGCGTATTTTCTGTTCCCGCGTTTTTTGGTCCGACCAGGATCAGTGTTGTGTTTTGGTATTATTGGTGTAGTTCTCCTTCAGCTGCTATTTGATTTTTCTGCTGTTAATAAAGATTGGCAACGAAATTTAAATGCTACATTCCATCTCTTCTTGGTTAAATTTTTTGTTGTGGAACCTGAAGGAGCCACTCTGGTTAAATTCATCTGAAGAGTTCCTGGTCTTGGGTTAAATATTGTCCGATTAAAATTCTTGAGATTATTGTCTCTAATGGCTCAATAAGTGGTATAACACAAATCGTCTAGGATTAGTGGTGAGGGACCCGGTCACCAAGCGTTAGATAAAAGTTATCTCTTTGGTTTCAAAATATTACTATGAGGAGGCTTTGTAGTCTCCCTATTGTGACGTCAAATGATGGCCGCTTAGTATAGGTCTTTGCGAGCCTTCGAGTTGGATCATTTGTTGCATATAAGTTAATATAAGTTAGTATCTCCGTCTTACCTCTACTTTCCTTGTGAATTTTCTTTCA